TCTGATCTGTGTCTTGGACAACAGACCTAGATGAACTGGTGACAGTTCAGGGTCCACTGATTGTTTAAATCATATTTTACATATTACAGAACATGAGATAATATTACTATTTCCTTGTTTGCTCTTACAACAGAGTGGGGTCAAGTAGGGTTAAGAAATAATTAGAAAGTAGGTTCTGCAGCTTAGCTGTTTAGGTAAAATGATATCCAGATCTTTTATTCTCACAGTTATCTACCATAAAATGTCCTGACTTTACACATTTAATGTATGGCAATAGTCAGCCTGGAAGCTCTCTTCCTCTGGAAACGAGTTGGACAATTAGTTTCCTCTGAAACAATATAAACAGTGCTTTTGGGAACACTGAGAGAAAACATTAATTCCCTTCAAATGTCTGTTTGCAGAGATTACTAAAACATGCTATATGTATTCTTAATGCAAATAAATCAATTGTGATGGTGACTTCTAAAGATCTTAACATATTTCGTATCGATCACAAAGCACTTTGCAATCATTTGTAGTTCTTTGAGTCTAGAGCAAGTTTATTTCCTGATTTGGGAGAGGGATCCTTAAAAGCCACACCCACAGAGACGTCTGCAAAAATCTGTGGTTTTCAAGCTGCTATACCAGTTGAGTCTGTCACCAGTTAATCTATCACACCGGGAATGTGTATAACAATGTGAGGTCACATTCGAAGATAGTATGGCTTGCACAGGGACAAACAAGATAGAATAAGAGAGAAAACGCACACAAAAAGATGTCAGAAACAAAACTATATAGTGGGCATAATATTAAAAATAAATAATTAGCAAATTTTTATCATGAACCTCAGCAAAAAAAATTCAGGAGCCCCTTTTTAATAAAATAATTGTGATCAATTGAAAGAGTTCTTCCAATGAGATGAAATCCTTTCTAAATATCAATCAGGTTTCAGAAAAAAACACATCACTATTACTGCTACTATGAAGGTAATAAATGATGTAATTGCTTCACTTTTTATTGATCTTCCAAAAGCTTTTGACACCGTAGACCATGCTATTTTAAAACACAGGCTACTACTCATTGGACTGTCAGAGCATGCAGTTGCTTGGTTTTCAAATTATCTTGAAAACAGGTCCCAGTGTATAAAATGTGAGGGGCTTTGTTCTGAATTTGTTACTGTTCACAAGGGTGTGCCACAAGGTTCTATTTTTGGCCCCCTCTTATTTATTTTGTACATCAATAATGTTGAATAAAATCTCCCTGCTGCTAATATGCATTTTTATGCTGATACAATTATTTATTGCTTTGGGTCATCTCTTGGACAGGCTATTTATTCCCTACAGAAAGCCTTTGTTGCTTTACTGTATTCATTTATTAATTGAATTATTTGGTAATGCTGACATAACAAAGTCAATATTTTTTTTAAATAATAGGAAGGTGCCTCAAACACTTCCAGTAGTGTCCACTCTGGAGGGGGATGTCCTTGAAGTAGCACATTAATATACATACCTTGGAATTGTAATTGATGACTCCCTTCAAACCTTTTATTGATAAACTTTTAAGAAATTAAAAGTTTAACTGGGCTTCTTCTTTCGTAATAAGACATGTTTTTCTTTTGGAGTAATAAAGCACCTTGCCTCTGCCACCTTTTTATTGGTCTTATATTGTGGTGACCTTTTTTTATAAGAATGCTACTTCTTTATGTCTTCAAATGTTGGACTCTGTTTACCATGCTTCATTAAGGTTCATCACAAACTGTAGAGCCATGACATCACTGTGACCTGTACTCTCAGGTGGGACGTTCTTCCCTCTCTATGAGAAGGCGTGTCATTGGTACTGTTTTATTTACAAGACCCTTCTTGGAATACTGCCCTCTTACATTTGTACCTTACTTACACAGAAAAGTATGGCTTCTTATGCCCTGATATCAGCTGTTGCTCACTAGTCCTTTTGCCCGCACAGAATGAGAGAAGAAAGCCTTTAGCTATGCAGCTCCTTGTGCGTGGAATTTTTTTTACAAAGAAACTGGAAGTTGACTGAGTTTTTATCTTCAAATGCTTTTAATTTGAAAGTGAAAGAATTTGAAGCAGCCTCAATGATCTGCAAATGTTTTACTTGATATCTTTTTTTTATGTACCTGTCAGTAATTTAAAGTACCACTGTTTCTTATGTAACTTTGCTGCCTCTTGGCCAGGACTCCCTTGAAAAATAGTTTTTTAATCTCAATGAGGTTTTTTCCTGGTTAAATAAAGGTTAAATATTTTTATTTTTTAAATGTACACGGCTGAGAATACAACTGGCCCTGTCTCTCCACACGGTGTCACTAGGCCCTGCCAGTTATTTCTGGAGGAACTGCATGCAGAAATTGGCTTTTCTACTGGCTAGGTCGATAAGGCCCTGTCCCCCCCTCCTCCCTTGTTAAAAAAGAGACAGACTGTGGCACCCAGTGCAAGCCATTCCAATAGAACTCCACCATCTGAGACTGTATTCTCATTAGCAGGTTCGACTGTGGGTCCAAGGCAGAAAGTTTGTGCCACAGCTGTGATGCAAGCAATTGTTTAAATCCAACACTCTGCCTCTTTAAGACATTTGAGGATGAACCCACTTCCACTTAGCCAGTTTATCAATAATTTACTTTTCTATATCTTCCAAGTTTTTCTGTACAATGGTTTTATCTCCCAGATGAACTCCAAGGTACTTAAATCAATTTCTTTTCCATAAAAGATTCTGTGGGAGAACTAGGAGTCCTCCATGCCACTCACTAATAGCAAAGGTTATTGAGGAAGCCAGGATGGAAAACCTATTGGTGACATTATCTCATATTTTGACATCTTGTTGATCTTTTATAAAAAACAACATCATTAGCATAGGCTGATAACACAATATTTCAGTTAAAACCAGGTATGATAAAACCATGAACACCTGAGTGTATTTTTTGGAGTAGAGGTTCCAATGAGAGTGCATAGAGCAGAGGTAACCTATTAAAAAGCAACATGGTTCAAATAAAACAAATCAACAACCAGTAAAGGTTATGAGACATTTTTAATTATAACCCATTACTTTAAACAGAATTTAACACTGAAATTAAATGCAAGTGTTTATGCATCGATGTTAAAAATGTTTTTTTTCTTAATGCTGGCAGTGGGCTTTATGCTGCCCTGCAAGGCTTTAAACCTGGGTTTGAATGGTGACTAAGCCATTCTCAAGCACATATCAAGCTGCTCATTTTGAGCCTGGATCCAGATTTATTGTTGATTCTGTTCATGGTGGAGAATCCTGCTTCACAGCAGCAGGTTGAGCCAAACATCCTCTAAATGTGCAGGGTCATCTTTGAGCACCATTTCACTTTTCTTTCACCAGTTCACCGCAGTTCTTCCAGCAGTACAAACTTTCTCTGCTCTCTTTTTCTCATCATCTTCTCCTTCTTTCCCATCGCCCGGCTTGCCACAGGTTTGCCTGCTGTGTCTAAAAGTAGCAGCAGCAGCAACTCAGACTGACAGCAGCTCATTGGCTAATCTGGATCATGTGCAGCCTGGTCCCCGGCGCTCCGGAGGGCTTTACCGTATTAACAGGAGAAGCGGTGCAAGTGAAATTAGACACTGTCGTTGGACAACATGCAGTAATTTATAAATGTTTTATATCAAGTTGGGTCCGGATTACCCAGCAGGTGGGTCCAGATCCAGACCGCTAATCTTTGATCTCTGCTATACACTGTTACATTTGTATCAAAAGAGAAAACACAGCAACTGATTTTTGCTGTTGTATTTACTGTTTGTAGCTGGGTTAAGGGAAAAAAAATTTCTAAAAAATTATGGAAAGATTGTAATACGTTTAAATTCACAATTTTTTTGCAGCATTTCTTTAGATCAACTGGAGCGAAATTAAGTGTGCAAGAAAATTCTTATGTGTCACTCATAGAGCAGACTTTATGTGCTTGTACTTGAGAATTTAAAGAGCTGTGATTTTTTTTTTTTAAATATGTACAATAAAAAAGAAAGGCAGCTGTCTGTAGGTGAAAGCGAACCAAATGGATGTGATAGAGAGGCTGTCTGACCCAGAGGGGGCTGAAAACTGAAGCGTTGTATTTTCCTGTATCTATCTGTAGGGCAGCATTCAGTTAGTACACTGGAGAAACGTATTTACTCAATATGCTGCATCAACAGCCAAACAATTTTTGGGGGAATATGGGAGGATGGTTACTGTCAGACTTAACAACTTGAGGAAGAAAGGAGAACAAACCTGATCTAAAACTTTAAAAAGGCATTTTGTAATGAAAAGACAGCTTATAAATGAAACAGCAAAGTTAAACTGGAATTTAATCGGGATCTAGAATTTAAGTTACATATGTTTTTGGTGTTTTATAAAAAAAAAAAAAAAACATTTATAATCCTTAAAGTCCTAATTTTATCATTTAGATTTAAATTATTTTTACCAGATTTTAGCTTAGTTAATTTATTTTCTTTTCTGATGCAGTTACTTCCAATTGGACATCCACACATTTTGCCTTAATACTGATTCATGGTTTATACCGTTCACTTGAATACCCTCTTTCTTACCTTTCTTTTATCTTTTTATTCCAGTGTCTGAGCTCAGGGTGATTCTGCTTGGAAGCCGCTGGTCCCACAGGAGTTCAGTGGGAAACTTCATACTAGGACTTAACGCCTTTAAATATGAAGCTCACGTCTGTATTAGATGCAATGGAGAAATGGAAAACAAGAAAATAGCTGTTATCAATACTCCAGATGTTCCGTTATCCACAGAAGACAAACTGACAGAGTTTATTAAAGACTGTGCAGAGGCCTCTGCTCCTGGTCCTCATGTGTTTCTGTTGGTACTAAAACCTGAAGATTTCACAGACCAAGAACAAAACAGGATATGCAGAATCCTAAAAGCTTTTAGTGATCAATCATTCAATCATTCGATTCTAATGATATTGAAATATGAATGGATGCGTTTTCAAGATCCCATGAAAAATACTTCAATCAAGGAACTGATCAGAGAATGTAGATATCGATACTTAAAGATGGAGGACATCGATCTTCTAGAGCTGCTGACTCGCTTTGGCCAAATTGTAAAAGAAAACAGTGGAGAATATGTGACTTATGAAGAGGTTAAAGATGCAGCAACCACTTTGGAAGATTCTCATCAGAGCCAGAAGGAAAAGGCAGCAATGGGGTCTATTGCAGCTGGTGTTCAAGCTGCTGGTGAGTGGAGAAATAACTTTGAGAATGATTTCAATAAAACTTGGAGACAAATAGCTTTTATTTTATTTTGTTTTACGGAATGTTAAATAAATTCTTGTCTGTTTAAAGGTATTGGTGCTCAAGTACCCAGGACACATCTGTCATATGAAGGTGAGTAGATTTATTAAAGAATCAGTGATTAAATGTGCAGTATATGAAGGTCACTACTCTACAGTTAAATTCAGTTCATTTCTATAGCACCAATTCACAACATCATTTTAAAACACTTAACAGAGACAATTCATTCAGGTCATTGAGTTAGATTGGTTATAAGTTTTTAAGGAAAACCTGCTGAAAGCACCCGGTCATTGACTTTTCAGGATTCTCTCCGTCTGGATGAGCTGGTAGGGACAGCAGAGATTAACTTGCATTGTCAATCCATCGCACACAGTTTCATATTTAGTGGAGAAGAAAAACTCAATTTTATTAGAAAGAAACATCCAGCAAAAACAGGCTCGGTGGGAGCGGCCTTCTGTCGACGGGGTTCAAGAAGACAAGCAAACATACAAAAGGAAAATAGAAGCAGTGATCTAGAAAAGGAAATGGTAAACTAGCTCTATAGAGAAAGCTCAGAATCACCTGAGCCACCTTATAAACTCTATTACTACAAGCTTCATCAAATAAAATAAGTTTTAAGTCTAGCCTTAAGAGTAGACAGGGTGTCTGCCTCACAGACTAAAACTGGGAGCTGGTTCTACAGCAGAGGAGCCTGATAACTAAAAAGTCTCCTTCCAGTTGAGCTTGCAAAGTTTGGTTTAGACAACTGGATGTGAAGTTTTCTAGAAAAAGTTTCTCCTATCATACAAGAGGCTTCATTTCTAACTAGGAGCACTGACATTAATGTAAGTGTAACAAAGAATTAGGGGGGGCCAGTCCTACTGGACTGGCCTTAGAGATCACACTCATACTGTAGATGGAAACAAAACCCAGTCACTGGTTCAAATATGTGTATAACACATGGGTCAAAATGAAGACCAGGGATATCAACACATTCACAGACAATTTTATCACAGTGGACAGAAACATCAAGTTTAACCAGGAAGATGTCAAAGAAGACAGTCTTGCCTTTGTGGACTGCGCAGTTCCCATCATGGAAGACAGACTGCTCAACATAGAAGTCTACAGGAAACTCACACACACCAACCAGCACCGATTTGATTCAAACGTTAAGAAAACGGATACATTAGGTCATCCCTGAAAAACAGTGGCTATCTCAGATGGGATGAGAAGGAAGAAAACAGAAGAAGGAGCATCATCTTTTCCTATGTTGCTGGAGTCTTTGAAAAACTCAGGAGGATTTTAAACCAGCACCTGATCCACGTTCATTTTTAAACACTCTGAGACAAAAAACTGGTTCACCCCAAAGATAAGACACCCATAAACAAGTCCAACAATGTGGTTTACACCAATCAGTGTAGTGAAGACTACACAAGCCTGTACATTGGAGAGACCAACTCCTCAGGACAGGAATCAGCTGTTCACCTGCACCTGAAGGCTAAAAGACATCTGTTTGAGGGCTACAACTTCCATATTCTGGCCAAGGAGGAAAGATGGTTGAGTGGGGTGTTAAGCAAGCCATGAAAAAACATTTCTCAACAGAGTAGGTGGTCTTAGACATAACCTTTCACCTACTTAGGAAGCACTTTCAGGAACAATACCCAGAAGATTGACCTGCCCATACCTGGCTCAAACTTGGCATGTGGCATGTGACTGGAACCACTTTGACGACAGAGTTGACAACCCTCATAAACCCCCTAAGGACTATTAACCTCCCATAGGTGACCTTCATGGCCAATTCAGTAGGAGGGATCAAAGCCACCTTTTGTTCCCCCTATTTCTTTGTTAGACCTACAGTACATTAATCTCTCTGAGCCCCACCACTATTTAGAGCTGAAGAAGCCTCTCGGATGAGAGGTGAAACATCTTCTAAAAAAAAAAATCTTGTCCAGTTGCCAAAGAACCTTTCAGCTTAGGCAAGCTTAGTCTGGATGACTGTGAATCTTGGCAAATATGTTCCTCCCATTATGTACTTTTCAATTAGCAAATGAAAATATCCATCCATCCATCCATCCATCCATCTTCCTCCGCCTATCCGGGGTCGGGTCGCGGGGGCAGCAGCTTAAGAAGGGAGGCCCAGACTTCCCTCTCCCCAGCCACTTCTTCCAGCTCTTCAGGAGGAACTCCAAGGCGTTCCCAGGCCAGCCGAGAAACATAGTCTCTCCAGCGTGTCCTG